GATGTAAGGCAAAAACGCAAAAAAATGGTAAAAATAACGGTTATCAAAGGGCAATAACTTTAATAAGGAGTCAACTGACAATTTCAACCATTAGATTGGTTTGTAGAACTTGTCTTGCTGATCATTTTTGCATTTTAAAGTTTCTCTCTATCTTTTATAGATTTCAAGATAATAGGCAAAAATGAAAAAAAAATGGTAAAACTTGTCATTTAAGGTAGATGAGGGGGGTGGGGTCTAAGTTAAAATCCATAGATTTTTTTAATAAGTTGTCAAAATGTAGTTTATATCATACTTTTTTCCAAAAATATAATAAAAAGTATGGGTCACCGGGCTTTTTTTCACGCTACAGGTTGTGCAAAATTGTCCGATTTTGTATAGATTATGCATGGAAAACCCAATTTTGAGTGATAAACAAAAACTACACCATAGAATTTTAAGATAAAATATGAAAAGATAGCTCTAATAATATGCTTTCAGATAAGAAAAAGAAAAAAATGGGGTCACCGGACTCGTTTTCTTGCTACATAATAAAAAAGGTAAATTTACAACACATTCTATTATAAAAGTTACCTTATCTGAGTTATCTCCCCTTATCTGGCAAAGTTGAAAAAAATATTTGTAAAACAAAAATATTCTTTTTTTTTTGTAAAATATAGCCGTAAATATGATAAAACACAAAATTCATGATTTTCTATATTAATATGAACAGTCTTACACATAAATTACATACTACTCCCGAAATTTGCAGATTTCATTAAAGATCTAGACCAATTGTTGTCTGCTATTTCACAATCCAAGATGGAGGAAGATACCCGAGCTACCTTAAGGGCAATAACTCCTATAAGAAGTCGTCTGACAGTTTTGACGTATATGGACAATTGGTAGAGCTCAACATTTTCAACATTTCTGCCTTACTGCATTACGACCTACTGCATAAAGTCACATAACGCATACATGTGATCACCCCATCAGACTTTACTTCATTTACCATATATGCAGGATTCGGAGGGGCGATGGGGCGATGGGGACGATGAAGTGCCATGGCAGTCTTCGCAGAAGTGTGATGGTCCTTTCGATGAGGCGCGATGATCTATATTCCTAGTTATAATTATACTATCTAGTTACTATTCAGTATTGTTCATTAAACAATTATGGCATTTCGGTATCGACGAAATCTATCATAATGTATATGGCTGCAAGAAAAGAATCGGTAAAAAAAATTATTATCCTGCAATAAGCCAATTTAGAATTATTTGTTAATCGTATAATGTTTGAATATCATCTGTAAGTACCCTGCGAATAATATTGTTTCTCTAATTTTCATGCTATTTTCACATTTATCGATCGGTGTGAGAAAAATATTTCTCATCTCTACAGAAAACTTTGTTCTCGGCAAATGATTGGTCGAAATTCAATTATGACGTCAAATTTTCTTGTTTCTTTTAAATTTCCTATTGTGACATCATGAAAAAAAGCAACCATGCCTGATGACGTCACATATATAGTACACAACTTTATGCAAATCTTTGAAAAGGAAGGATAAACTTTGTTTAAATATCGTCTAAAATCATTAGAGAAACAGATTCCACCACTACATGTCGTGTATTACGATATTTCCCCACTCTCAACAGTTAAATTTTGAATATTTACAAGGTCAGCAAGCCTCGCGTTTTGAATTTTAAAATTTAACAGTCTCGAGTGGAGAAATATCGTAACACACTTGATGCAGTGGGAGCATCTATATTTCACCTATACCTACCTTTAATGTACATCCTTTTATACGGTGTTTGCAACATTTGAAATAAAATATTTCATATTATGTAACGTCACAGTACCCAAATTGCACTGAGTACCCAAATTGCACCTATTTAGCTAAAATAGCAGCGAAAATCTTACAAGTTTTCCTAGGGACTAAACAATTTGTATTTTTTATTATTTGCCATTATGCACGTTTTTCAAATAGGTAAATATATTTTAATATTCACAAAACATTCACAGTATATATAAAAAGATAAAGTAATCACTGGAAAAAGTAAAATCTACGGAAACGTCGCCATGCGACGTCCACAAAAAGTCTTCTTTTAAAAATAAGCAAATAAATTATGTTCTGAGCATCCATTTCTTAAAAAATGAATAGTAAGCATGAACAAATGTCAAATTGTTCTAAATATTTGAAAAAATAATCAAAACATCTGTTATTCGATTTTTAAGGATGTGAATTTAAGCATAGATGCAATTTGGGTACTCCTCATTACAGAACCATGGATCGTTTGGAGGTCGGTTCAAACCCATTTTTCTATGATTCGTTATGGATTCAAAATTAAATTGGTGGAACTATATAATAAATAAGGATACATCTACAAAATAAACACAGAATGGAAACTTTTGTCTGGATCATAAATAAACGTAGATTCTAGGTGAAAAAACTGTCAAAATATGTGCAATTTGGGTACCCTCACGTTATGTCCTTAGTTTCATACTAAATGAGAAATTGTCCTAACTTATTTTGCTGCCATCTCTGGAGAATTCTTTAAACATGAACATATGATTCTACCAAACCAATTGACGTCAATATCGACATGTGAACATAAAAAAAAAACACTGAAAATGTAGTTAATATGATCCAACGCACTTCAGCGGTACCACCAACCCACTTTGGCGTAGCTATCAACAAGATAGCGTCACAATGCCAACATGGCACTTCAGCGTGATCAAAAATGCACTGCAGCGTGACCATTGCGGTTCGGAGTAACTTCGCGGTTCAGAGTCCTTACATATATCTTATATTCAATGGATTATGATGTCTAGCTACGATGATGGTGTGGTAACGACAAAATAATTAAAATAAGGTTAATATCCTTAATGGATAATTAATTTCCAACTGGCATGAAAATACGGATATTGTTTGATTAAAAATATCTTTTTATAATAACATTTTGGAAATTATTTTAAATTAAGGAATATATCTCCCTCATGCAAAGATCCTATTCCTTGTCAGAATTCGGCTATACTTTAGGTCCGTTTTGTCTTGATCCGCTTTTCGACATTTGTATTATATTTTGGATAATACAATATTTTTTGGCTTCGAGCATCACTGAAGAGACAAGATTTGTCGAATTGCGCATCTGGTGCATCAAAATTGGTACCGGTTATGTTATTCCAACTGACGTCGCTGACATTACTACAAGAGGGGAAGAATGAGCTTCTCGTACATGACTATAAGGACACCGGCAACACGTTTTCTTGTTTAAGGAAATTATTCCATAAATTTTTTGTCCTTAATATGCACCAACTAATAGCCACTGGACGTTAAGCTGCCATCATTAATTTATTAGTTGATTTTATGTGGCCCTATACCAATAACTAAATAAATGAAGGTGACGAAAAATACAGAATGATTTTTTCTTTTTTTTTAATTTAGTTCACCTTTTGATCGCGACTTAAAGGAATGTGGTAGCAAATATCTGTCGTGTGTCATAACTTATATAATAATAAGAACAGGTGGTATGCTTGCCATTGAGACAGTAAACCCCAAAGGACAAAGTTGTGTACATTAAAGGTTTATCGTAATTGGTTAATTGAGTTTTATGGTAAATCTTTGATTGTTTCTGTAAAATGTATTCACACCAATTATAAACTCGCGACAATTTAGAGCTAGACATATCATATATACACTTTATTAAAGACTGCTAAAATTTCCATAGAATGTCCTTAAGTCTATTTTTTATCAAGAGTTGTTGTCTCATTTACCTTGAGCCAACACTGGTTGAAACAATTGCAAAGAAACCCGTCTTATTCGTGTCTCGACTTGAACTCGCAACAAAGTCAATTTGGTCAAAATTTTCAATATAGGGTGAGGATTTGGACATTCATCGTATCATTGACCTTTGGTACACCTACATTATAATAAGTTCTGAGTGCATTGGATTTCATATTATCCGTAGAAAAATAGCTATCGCTAAGAAATACTGTTTCATTCGGAGTAACATTTTTTTTAATGAATTTTCAAAGATCTCATCTTCGGTAAAAATTTGAAGCTATTCACCTAAAACTAGTATTTGTGGATTTATGTGTTTTTTCCTTGCCTTGTTAGTATAGAATGATAAGAAATGTTGAAGATAAGTCAGCAATCTTACAACACTAACAAAACCAGGAAGGACATCTCATGATGACTCTATCACAAGTGTCTACACCATATATTAATATAGTAGTGACACCAATTGCAATTCAACAAACTAAATTATTAAGTGAGATCATGTGCCACGAGATGGCAATCTGGTCATGCATCATCCGTCATCCGTTCTTAAGTGGTATTGAAAAGTGTCACATCAACAAACAAGACGAAAATGTAAGATGGATAATCTATATTGTTTATTATGTGTTTGTTATTGTGTGCAATTTTTTCTATTGTGCGTTTTACTTTTACGAGATATGGTCTTGAAAGGCAACATGGGAGGTAAGTACACAGACGCGTGTACATGGTTTTAACTAACCAAATGTTGTGCTTGTACAAACAACCGTAACGGTACCAATTTAACTGCACCAGATACGAATATCAACAATTAATGTCTCCTCAGTGATGCCTGAAGCCAAACTATTTGAAAATCCAAACCTTATTTAAGAAATGAAGAGTTGATAAAACAACATGTATAGTCAAAGCCGAACAAGTAATCAAAGCTATGCATGAGGGAGATGTATTCCTTACCAAGCCAGCTATCGGCACCATACGATGTTCGCTGTGTAAGGTTTAAGCGTAAACGCTATACTGATGAATTGCTTAGCGCAGGAATTTAAAAGGAGATGTTTGGGATATGTCAATAAAACAGAAATTAAATGACGCATATAACCAAAAGTCAACTACAGGATAACTAACATTCGTCAACAATATTGAGTGTATGTACACCATAGCTAGTTATTAGTTGTCCTGCATCTATAACAAAACAAAATAAATAAACAGATAATGTCATAGATCTGGCATCAATTAACAATCAAATGTGAAGCACTGTTTATTATATTTTTATTAGACGAATTTTAAATGAACGTCATTTTCAACAACGATTCATATTATAACGATGAAAAGTATTTCTTTGCAAGCAGTGAATAAAATCCCGGTCGCACGTACAGACATTCTGTTTACACGATCCAGATTTATCTAAAAAAGAAAATAGTTCTGAAAATTTTAACAGATAAACATAAAAGTATGAAACACATTTATATATTTAAAGCAATCCTTGTCATTTCTCTAAACACGAGTAACATTCAATTTTTAACCATTAACAAGTGGTATTCCATTTTTAACAAATTATTCAAATAAGAAACAGATATATTATCAAATACGATAGCCGTTAATTCCATTAAAAAAGTTTTAAGAAAGGAAACGAAATAAGGACATGTATCAGCTATTATCTACCCTGAATTAATTAATCAAAATTAGAAACAAAGGAACCTATCGTTAATAAAGTGATAAAACATGAGACATTAAACAGCTTTTTATCTTTTAAATAAAGTAAAGAAAATTTAAGTCGACAAATTTTAGAACATTCCTTTTGGAGTTCATGTACATTTTATAACTAATCAAACAGAATGATTTGAATTTGAATATTTTTAATTTTTTAATTTATTTTATAATTATTATTTTTTTTATGATTCTTATTTATTCACACCCCAAGAGTGACTGGGGAATAGAAGTATGGTCACCATTGGTCTTTCTCCGACCGGCAGTAAAACCCTTGCTAAAGTGGGGCGTCCGTTTGGCTGTGCGGGATGTACAAATTTGCAGCCACGTCCGGTCAGAATGGAGACGTTAAATCCGATGCCTCGTGTAAAGAGAGTTCCACGTTCTTTGCACGTTAAGAATCCTTGCAACAACTCTTTGAAGGGTCCGTAGGTGACCTGTTGCAAGGCTAAACTTCTGTCCCTATCCAATATACCCTCATTTCCAGTGGCAGTCTAAATTCCTCCGACCTTAATCCCTGACGCCTCTATTACAGACCTACCTATTGTATTTATTGTTGATTTGTTCTCGTCCTGAATATGCATGAAATATTTGCCACTGGACGTTAAGCAACCAACAATCAATCAATCAATCTTATTTATTCAAATGCCCTCTGTGGACCCTTTTATTAAGATTGAATGCTTTTAAACCCGTTGACCGAAGCACAATCCTATACAATAACAAAAGGAAGCATTCAATTCATACAATTAATCATGGAAAAAATGAGTTCTGTCAAGCTTTTCGTTTGATTTTCTATGCATTGTTGTGAGGTTGTCATGGAAGTACGTGCAGTCACGAATGTTGCATTTTTTTTTAGAAATGAAATATAATTTTGAAATTCCTCGCGATTGTTGACAGCCAATCAAAAGTAATGGTTCTTATGAAACATACATGTAATTTTATAATTTAGGAATAGATATATATTTGCTACTCGTGAAACGTAGAAAGGAATTTTGCATTGCGCATCATATACGAAGTAATCTTTTACACAATTTTTCCATACCGTTGTTTTTATTATTTTATCATTTTATCATATTTTTTTTCTAGTCATATTTCTAAAACACAAAAGTAATTATTTACCTTTACATATCATTCTATTCCCCTGGAATGAGTACGAGTAATATTTCCATTTTGGGGAGCAATTAGAATTTCTGCCATAGCAATTATCGTGTACTTGACAACATCTAAAAATTGAAAAAATTCTTTCGTCATGAAAACAATACACACTTTTATATTGTTATCATAAGACCTAAGTAAAGCTTATGCACGTTTTTAGATGGTTTTTTGGAATAAATGATTTGACAAGGAATAAACAGTCATAGTAGTATGATATATATACCTATCAACGCCATCTACCGGTGTACCACTTCCTCCCCATCCACAATAACACCCATAACCAATTAGTTCTCTTACTCTTTTAGATCCGAACACATGCTTTATCTGATTTCGGAACTGCACTAAGTTTCTCTTTTCTATGCTTGAGTCGGCTGTCAAATGCAAGTAAAAATGTTACATATACAATTATATTTCTATTTGGTTCTCTTATCATAATAAATCGTTTTGAATTAATCAAAGGGTGCAATAATTTTAAAGATAAATAAGAGCCGTTGATATAACTAATTTCGAAATTTAATTTATGCAAATTAATTTGTCAGTATACGTTAACAGCAACATAAAGTATTACCACAAGACTTGAATTATTTCAGAAGATGCGTCTGGAGTTTGGTTTTGGTTTTGATAAATAGATTATAGCACAACTTTATTAATACTTGCAAGTCATCAATTGTTTCTAAAGAAAAATATGAAAACATGTTACGTCTCTGAGCTGACTGTGATAAATAATATAATTTACTATAACGCAGGACACCTTCACATTTTGAAAATGACTGGGATGGAGCTAGTTGTTAACGCCTACTTATAAACTAACTGATCCGCGTAGGTAGGATTGGAACTATTATTCCAACATCACGGGCTTGATGTTCCATCAAAATCAAATGAAGGAAGATATGATAATAACAAAACTGAGCATATACTTGATCTTATACTCACCCGTTATGTACGAGCATACGGTACAGGCAACAATGAAAGAAAACAGAAAATTCACCTGAAATCAAATGCATTCTTTATAATTGTAAAATAGTCATTGTACACATCCATTGTCGGTATTTTATCAAATTGTTTTATTTTGTTGGGACATCGGTGATATTGGCAGATCTGTGCTATTTGTTTTTTTTTTTTCATTTAGAACTGTTCTATACTAGGAACGATTAAAAGGTTGACACATTGTATAGTCATTGTCAATTGGAAACCGTAGGGTGACCTCTAGGTGTCCCTTTAAATGTTTTGCTTTCAAATTGACGTGTACGCGCATCTTGTCATGCTCATATTTCATGTTTAGGAGTAAACAATATTTTTTCTTCTTCATGAACACTGTATGATACAGCTAACCTTAAGTCTTAAAAGATCTGAGTGATGCCTAGAAAATGGTTGCATTTAATGCACACTAATTATGGAATGGCGACATTGGCGTTGTGATTTTAGGTATCATTAGGGCATTATTCTTAACGTCCGGATTTAATCGGACACGGTTGCATATTTATAAATTTAGAACTACCAGACGACCCTCAACATGATCCTACTACTGGCCAAGGGAGGTGTAGGGGAAAATATTTTTATACCTCAAATAAACCTTTAAGCCTTCTCGAACTAAGCAACTGCTTGTGAAAGACCTTTTTAAAACGTTTATGAATTTGGGCTTTTCTTACTCTGATATTTTTTTTCTATTCTAATCTTTTATTCTAACAAAACAATACACTTAATCGCGATATGTTTTCATGTTTAAAATTCTGAAGACTAATAAAAATCGTGACCATTATTTGAAAAAAATCATCAATATATATCAGTATAACTTACCATTATCAAATCACTGTACTTTAAGCTGAAACAAGAAGGACAGATGTAAAGCAAAATTGTTTGAACGGAATTTCGAGAAATCGCAATTAATTTGAAAAAAAAATACTTTTTTTATTCTATACACGTATATGTGTAGTTCATACATTAATAATTAGATTGTATCTCTAGAAGTATAAATTGTATACATATTATTTTTGCTAACTACAAAATGCATACATAATTTTATTAATATCCAAAAGACCGCTCAATTACGTTTAATTCGTCTTACCATGAAATGGAAGAACAATGTTTAGATATAGCATTTGATATTTCTTATTTCATACTTCGATCATGAAAGGAATAAATTAAAATGTTACCTATGAACCAGTTCTTGTCTATTAGATTGATAGAGATCCAATATGACTTACTATGTTCGTATTGTCATTAATTCACTCTCTATAAACGTAACTATTGATTACAGTAGAGGGTCATAATAATAAAAACAAAAACATGTCATGTTCAAAGAATTTGAAAATAATACTTTCCAGATAGATGCCAAAATACCCAAACAAACATTCTACAATTACCAAAATCATAATATTATTTCAACTCTAGGTCAATAAACCAAAAACCTTGATGATAAATTCTGGGAAAATTGTATATCATTTGGATAACGATTGGTGCGAGCATGTGTTACATTGATTTGCGGTTTTAAATTTCTTTTGGTATAAAAAAATAGCTAATTGTTTAAAGAGTAAAACATGAAAATTTAACACTCGTTAAAATATTTATCTAATGAACATTTATGTTTAAAAATTTCAGGATAATCTGTTTTAACTTTTTTTCTAAACGCCTATTTGAATAATATCTGTTGAATCTTCTACTTCTTCCTCCTTTCTTTTGTGGTTCTAAAGAAGCAAGAAATATTTGCAACTGCACATAAATTAAACACCAATCGATCCATTATTATTATTATTATTATTATTATTATTATTATTATTATTATCATTATTATTGTTATTGTTATTATGCTATTATTATAACTATTAATATTATTGTTATTATTATTATTATCATTATAATTATTATTTTTATTGTTATTGTTATCATTATTATGATTCTTATTATTATTGTTATTGTTATTATTATTGTTATTGTTATTATTATTATTATTGTTATTGTTATTGTTATTATTATTATTATTGTTATAGTTATTATTATTATAATTATTATTGCTATTGTTATTGTTATTATTATTGTTATTGTTATTGTTATTATTATTGTTATTGTTATTATTATTGTTATTGTTATTGTTATTATAATTATTATTGTTATTGTTATTATTATTATTGATTGTTATTGTTATTGTTATTGTTATTATTATTGTTATTGTTATTGTTATTATAATTATTATTGTTATTGTTATAATTATTATTGTTATTGTTATTATTATTATAATTATTATTGTTATTGTTATTATAATTATTATTGTTATTGTTATTATAATTATTATTGTTATTATTATTGTTATTGTTATTATTATTATTATCATCATTATTGTTATTGTTATTGTTATTATTATTATTGATTGTTATTGTTATTGTTGTTATTGTTATTATTATTGTTATTGTTATTATTATTATAATTATTATTGTTATTGTTAGTATTATTATAATTATTATTGTTATTGTTATTATAATTATTATTGTTATTATTATTGTTATTGTTATTATTATTATTATCATTATTATTGTTATTATTGATTGTTATTGTTATTGTTGTTATTGTTATTATTATTGTTATTGTTATTGTTATTATAATTATTATTATAATTATTATTATCATTATTATTGTTATTATTATTATTATCATTATTATTGTTATTGTTATTATTATTATTATCATTATTGTTGTTATTATTATTATTACTATAATAATTATAATGGTAGTTGTTATTGTTATTCTTCTTTAATTTCTTTATTGATGTCACTTTCCGCAATGTAACTTTTCCGTTCTAAGAAATCGATTGTCAAATGCACTTCTACAGCATGTTAGTCTTACATGTTCAATTGTGTTTAAAGGTATTTTGTTCGATCGTGCATTTAGGTCTACTAAGGGGTTCCTTGAAAGACACTCAGAAAGGGGTGGCTTATTCATATCCTACAACAAGATTTTTCGCTTTATGACAATATTAATTGATGGATAACCTTAACTGTTTGTTAGAAAGTATATACACTCCTTAAAGATTTTGAATTATTGAAGGACAAAAAAAGTTAAATAACAAAAAATATCGAACTCCGAGGAAAATTCAAAACGAAAGGCACCTTGTCAAATGGTAAAACCAAAAGCTCAAACACATCAAACGAATGGAAAACACACTGACAAAAGAGTGTTAAGGTGGCTGGGTGGTATAAATATCTAATATAGGATTTGGCTAATACTTTTTATAAATCAAATTTATCATATATTAAGTGGAAAATAAAAATAAAAAAATGGGTTCACCGTCTAGTTAAATTTTTTTGAAGGGTTCAAGTTTATTGGTTTTCATTCAAGATTACTATAGAAATGATAGGGAAATGAATGCATAGCCATCTTTTTTGAAGAATTTCTCATGAAACCTAATATAGGATTTTTTAATGTTTGTGTTTTTTCTGTTGCTTAAATAGTCTTTTTAAATAATAAAAAATAAAATCAACAAGTCACCGTCTAGTTAAGACAAAAAATGTAGATCATTAAAAATAATGAGTATTATTTCAAAAAGGGAGATAACTCTGTCTTTTACACATTTTTCTAATTTTGAGACCAGATATAGAAAGACCTGGTTATAAAAACTAGTTATACCTTCTATACATGTAAGACAATATATAATATATATAACATTTCCAAACAGTTGATTTGCATATTGGTTGCCATGGCAACCAGCAGTCAAAATGGAAAATCACTAATTTTTGGGATTTTTTTAAATTTTCAGTTCAAATTCAATACCAAACAATTTGAAAAATGAGCAGGCAGTATCTATTACAATAGGGGTGTGTTTGTTTTTAGAACCTGCATATTTATATGGACTGTGGAATCCTTGAGGCAAATAGTTCTTAGTTTGTCTGCCCGTTCACTTGTTTAATACCACTGGTTTCAGTTTATAATTTTAGTATCTCTTGCTTGATTGTAATAAAACTTGCCTTTTTTATGAAACCTAGAGACTCACTCAGACACCTGACTTAAACTGATTTTTCAGTTTACAAGACAATCCCCCATCTGCAATAAATATCCCACCTCAGGGACCTCTAACATTAGTATTCCAATTTTGATGAAACTTTGCAAGGTATTTTTATTTTATTGGTGTTCTGTACATAAATCAGGCTGTTTTGGCATGTTTGAATTGCCTTACATTTGTCATTTGGTTTTATAGCTTGCCAAACGGTATGGAGTTGGCTCATTGTTAAAGGCCATAGGGGGGCATATACATGTATCTCTTAACTTCTATCTCTTTTGGTCTCTGGTGGCAAGTTTTCTCAGTGGCAATAATGCCCCGTATATCCCACCTTTTTATATATATTTGAAATTTTAAACACAATGCTGACAAATATAGCACACAGGACAGCTTCTATGTTTGTTGTATAATGGAATTATTACAGGAGCATATCTAAGTTTGACATAGACAAATTCTTCTTTCATTTCCTAGTACTTGTTTATGTATAAAAATTAATACATGAGATAGTTGAACCTGATACACCCGCCATATAATACTTTTTTTATATCTGTCAATTTATCCGTTTTATGCTTTTGAAATTACATACATAAAAAATTTCAGGTTTAATAGTGTGTTATTAGATTTGTATTAAATAGAAAATGTGTCTATAAGACACAGGATGTCCTGCCATTAAATGTAGGTCACAGTAATCAAATTGTTGATGACCTGTGTGGTATCATAAAAGAATACTGTAGTGATGATATATCACAATAGGTTTCTGTGAAATGAACCTAAACACAAGACTTAACGGTAACCAAAGACACAAAAGCAATAAATGTAGGTCAAAGTGACTCAAGTAATGTATAGTACTACTAGTATACAAGATGTCTGTGGAGAAAAAAATATCACTGATATATTACCATTAGTTTCTATGAAATAGAGATAAATGCAAAACTTTACTGGAAAGGGATGTACATACTTATGAACTGACAAAGGTATACTAGTATCAATCTATATAATCC